CGCCTCACCCCCCTCACACACGCACCCCTGCCTCACCCCCCCACGTTAGCACCAGGTGTTGCTATCCACCCGTTGCCTTGTTGCAGTTCCTGGGTCAGCTGAAGTGGCTGGAGGGGATGGAGGGAGGGCGGGGGGGAGGGGACGGGAAAGCTGAAGTGGCTGGAGGGGATGGAGGGAGGCAGGGTGAGAGGTGAAGGCACCAATGTGGGAGAGGGGTTTCAGAAGATGCTAAGTGAGCTTTAACCAACAATGGATGGAAAGTAAGAGACTTCAGTCACTTGTGTTGAATAATGGGGTGGAAGAGGTTTCGTTTCTTCTGGAAAATAGGAACATGGGGTCGTTCAGTACCAGCTGTCTGCTATGGAGCCAGTTTTGGTTGTACTTCTTCCTCCAACATTCCTGGTCTGGGACGGTGTCTGGGGCCGGGCTGGGACCTGCCTGCAGCCAGGGAGTCCGTGGGGGCTGGAGGCCAGGGCGGCTGCGCCCGCGGCGCCGTGGTCAGGGTTGATGTCCCACTGGGCCTGGCTGGCTGGCGAGTGGCTCGGTGTGTGGCCTGAAGGTGCTGCAGAGCGATGAGGCCGTTCGACGTGGGTCGCTTGCTAACCGCCATCCATCACGAGAGGTTTAACACCCCTGTTTGTTGCGGGTCACTTTTTGCCAAGAGAGAGGATTGTCTTCAAACCCCTTTTTGTTTTTATAGGTAAAATCTGAAAAGGTGGGGGTTTTTGGCTGGCTGCTTCCCTCCTACCCCCCTCCTGCTTTTTCTTGGCAAAGGGTTTAGATACCTGCGACTGCATTATCATTGTCCTGAAACCTGAGCAACAATGAGGGAAATGCATTGGTCAGAATTTTATTGTCCGCTCTCTCTCAACCTGCAAACTGTTACCTGGCACTTGAGAGAAAAGTTGTTTCTGTGAATGTCTTGCTTTTCCTCTTTATCCCCTGAAGATGTAAACCTCTTTCTCCTGTTTTTGATGTGTTTTTGAGTGAGAATAGGAAAAACAAGATCTGGTGCTTCTACTTAAAAAGGAAGGGGCTTTCTGCTTTTAATATTACTTTATTTAGATCTCTGTTATAAATAATTTTAAAAAGGGCACAGACAAGTATTCTCTAATGCACTTATTTTAATGAACAATTTAAGGAAGGAGATTGTTCCTTGAAAAAGCTGTCTTTATTCTTTGTTTCAGATAAACCAAGGAGTCGATATGCTGTGAATAGCTCTAGTGACACCACAGAAGATCAAGATGGGGACTCCAGGTAGGGAAAAACATTGAAATAGAGTTTGAAATAGAGGAGACGTGGCCTCTTGCTGTCCTGCCTGCTGGTTCAGTAGGCAAATTCTCTTGGACTGTATTGAAGACAACCTGCCAGAAAAGGAGCAAGTTAGTGCTTAGCAATGAGGCATTTCTCACGAGGGAATGCTGTTGAATCTATTGTTTGCTGGGTAGGGTATAGGTCAGGTAGTTTGTGCTCATCGGAAAGGCAGTATTACTCTTTCAAAGCTAGGAGTATTAATACTTCGGCAAAATTCCACTTTTCTTTACCTGCCTACCTCTAACGGGATATATTTTCCAGTTGCCTCAAATTCTTCCCTAGCTCGTGTAATTGTCGTATGGAATTGCTGTGCACTAATGAATAACTAATTTTGTTTCTCCAGACAGAGCTGCCCTTGTGTCTGTGGAATGAAATAGTAGCTTAGAAGGAAACTGAGGCTTAAAGATAGTTTTTCAATTGCAGGAAATCAGTGGGTAACAAACGCACTGAAAATAGGCAGTGTGGTGTTCGGTGTGCGTGTACGTAGGGATGGACCCTCTGATTAGTTTTTGTAGAAAACTTGAAAACTTCTGCATGGTTCTAAATTTATCACTCTCAGATATGAAACAAATCTGGGGAAGAAAAAGGTTTTTTTGTCTGTTGGCCCATAGTTCAGTTGCAGATCTCTTTTGTGTTTTAATCTCCAGTATTAATAAAACAGGGTAGTTGCTGGTTTTCTCTCCTGTAAGTCACTTGCCCCCAGAAAAGAAATTCAGATCCCAACCTTGCAAAATGTAAGCTTGTTCCTAACTTTATGGCTGAGAACGTTTTAGCTGAAATTAAAATCACTCATGACAGTGAACTTCATCAGTTCATATGTTTTTCCAGGAGTGGGATCTTACAAAAGCACATCTTGCTTAAGGTCATTTGTATCTCTTGCCTCTTCTGGTGTCCTTGGAACCTTCAAATGCAGCATTCTGTCGTGTCTCCAGTACGGTACGGGGCACAACTCCAGTGGGAGAAAGCTGTGGTTTTGTAAGTTTGGTGATAGGTGAATGGTGTTTCAGACTGCTGTGAACAGCAGCTGGTACGCACATTAGGAAGGCTCGGTGCACACGTTTGCTGGTTATCTCAGGGATTTTGTTGGTTGCTGTTCAAAACCCTGGCTCTAATATTTCCCTGGATAGATTAAACCGGTGTTGGAATGCTACCAGCTTCTGTCCAATACTGATTCTTGTTGCCTCTGCCATTTTGGCAGGTTGGACAAAGCACTTAATGCCGAGTTGTGTTCGCTGGATGTTGCCTGTGGTGCTGAAGTAGCATGATGTGGTATGTAGCTACTACCATGATGGAGGGAAAGCTTTTATCATTTCAAATTATGGTCAGATGAGGAAACTGCTAGTATTTTCCTGCAACTGGTTTTAAGTAGGTTGAATGTGCTGGCAGGTAACCTACATTAAACAAAGAATTACATTATTTCATTGTAGTGGTGTCCAGAGCTCTGGGCTTGAAAGTTAAAGCTTAATCTCCTGGTCAGGTATTTGTTATTAAGCTTTTAGTGTTTAAAAGAATTTATGATCTCACAACCGAGCTCACTCAGTGCAAATTATCACGGTTCTGAAGCATTGAATGAAAGGATAGTAAGACAGAAATCCCCCTCTGCAGTGATGGTCTTCAGAAAAAAGAAGTTGTCGCTTGTACAATTTGGTATATAGCAGATTCATGCTGCTGTGTCCACACCTGGCTTTTACTAAGGTCAGTGTTTATAAGCCTGATACCTATTTAGATGAAATTGTGACATCAGCCAGCACAGGTCGGTTAACAGGAAGCTCCTTAATATCTCCCGTGGATCTTTCTATAGCTGCCATGCAGGTGAAAGGGAAATAGAAGAAGAGGAGCATTTACATTGCTCTGAAAATGTTGGTTCTGCTCGAGGTCAGATACCGACGTCCAGCTGCTTGTGCTACTTACAGGGCTGGGCATCTGCATTCAGAAATTCAAAGTCTCTTTCAAAATTGTGTTGGTTTCAAGTCTGTTTATTGAAAAGTTTTTTCCCAATACCGGTGTAATCAGGGTTGTAAGTCCAATGCATCCCATACAACTGATGTAGCAGCTAAATGTAATCTTCTCTTCAATCATAGCAGCTAGTGGAAGAAATCACCGATGCTCTTTATGTACCAAGTACTATTAATTTATGTTAGACAAGAGGTTTGTTGGCAGTTAGTATCTTCCACTGCACTTACTGATACAGGTGGAAAAAATACGCAAGTTTTAGGTATGCAGGCCCTCTTCCAGCCCAAAACAAAAAGGGATCTTCAAAACTGTGTGCAACAGTTTGCTCAGTTTTGATTTGTATCAGACTGGTTTAGGAGTAGCAGAAGTTGGTGCTGCTGTGGAGTAGAAGAGATTCTAAGGGGAGAGTGGAGGCAGAAAGGTGCAGGCGTCTTGGAGAGAGCGAGATGTATATGGTTTGTAAACTAGGGAAGGAAGGAGTTTAACTGTCATATGCTATAAAACCAGGATTGTCATTGAGCCCGTGGGGTTGGTTTTCCTCACCGATGTTATGAATTTTCGCTCCTGGGCTCCTGTTTGGAATGTGTTTTGTATGTTCCCTTTGAAGATCAGGCTGGAGAGACCAGGAATGGAGCAACTGGTTTTGAGAGCGCTGTTCCCATTCCCCCAGTGGCAGCTCTGTCCCTGTAAGTTCGTTCTTCCGCAGTGCTGTGGCGTAGCGGTTCTCTTCCCGAAACACGCAGGTCAGTAGTCCATGGAGAGATTTCATCAGCATGAAGACCAGTCTCTTTTCTGGTGGTGGTGATTTTCTGATTGGAGTTGTCCTTGATGAAAGTAATTTATTAAGTGGTTTCATATTATTTCTGAAAGGCTTCTTCAAGGAAGAGTTGGCAAAAAGATTCCGTTAAATCACCACATATCACTAGCATCTGTTGATGTTTTTCGTGGCACGAGTTGAGGCTTTGGAGAGGGCAGACTGCTAGTTTGGGTTGATGGTGTACGGCAAGTTTGATAATGTTGAAAGGTTGTGTCTTTCCCATGTTTTCATGTTCAGTAGCAAAGGTTATTTCAGATTTATCTTGTTGCTGCAATAGTTCTTCTGAGGGTTGGAGTCATCCTTTTTCATACTGGATGCCTGTCTTTATAAGTTACTAGCAATCTAGCACCAATTGTATCCTAGATAAGGTTCAGTACTGCTTTTTTCCTAAGCTATTGGAATCCAGATCAATTACTTTTAAGCTGATCTCTCCTGCAGCAGTTGAGTTGTATGTATTTCTTTATGGCCTTAGAAAGGACAAAATTAGGACAGTTTAGATGCCTTAGCTCTCCATTTCCGTATTTGGATGCATAATTGGATTTCTTTTAGTCTTCAGACTCAAATTTCCTGGTCATTGTTATGCTTTTTGGTTTTTTTTCTAATAGACAATTGCAGCCTATTCATGTCAATCCTACCTCTAGGTTATAGATGTGTATTTGCTTATATTAGTTTCAACTCAGTGGAGCTGTGTGTTTGGGTCTTCAGAACGTAGATTTTTCTTCCTTTTAAAAGCAAGTCAAGCAGCAAAAGTGGTTGAAGGTGTGTTGATGGTGGCCATGCAACAAAGAGGTATTCAGAAGAATATGTCGCTGTCAAAACAAATTGCCTGTCAAGCCCGTCTCTTTGCTGGCTTCTTCTCAGCCTTTCATAATTTGCTCTCTTCTAAAACATCCTTCAGTTTTTGGATGCTTTACCAGGAATACATACCCCTCACAGCTTGTGGAGATGCCTGCCAGTCTTCCCCCCACAAAAAAACTCGTGAGGCAATTACTCTTTTGGAGCCATAAGATAATGCTTTGTTAAATTGGTTTGGAATGTTTTTTGTAGTTTGTCTGAAGGTGGTATAGTCAGCAAGCAAACATTCTAATGAAGATGCATGTATAGTAACATATGTTATACCAGACTTTGCATTTCTTAGTAGCGTAACTAACTGAAGGAGGTTTAGCAAGTTTGACAGCACTGATGTCATTAATTGGCCAAACGCTTCTGTTATAAAAAAAGTCAAGTTAGTGACAAACAAGGACTTGAGTGTCCCTTTCTAACAAACAGTAGTTCTCCTGTGATAACATTTCTGTATCCTCTGTCCCTCTTTCACTGGACTCCAGTGTTCTTCCTTGTATTTGTTCTGAAAGGCTTCCTTTCTGTAAGGCCGTGCTTTTCCATTCATCCATCCCTTTAACCACCCTCCCTGTAATATCACCTCCTTGTACGGTTTGTCATTTGGGATCGCTCTAGGTTCCCTTTTCAACATGACCAGTAGAAATCTGCTGTGTTTTGGATTAACAATTGTTGGAGGTTTTTCATTTTCTCTCCCCTTAGTAATGTGGACAGTATAAAGCTTTTATCCAATTCATTTTTCAGTATATTTGGGAAGTTTGTCTCAGGAAACAACTCCTTTTTTTCCTGGTAAAGAAGGTTTGCAGGTTCTTTGCCTCGAAAACTTTTTCAGCCTACTCTTCCTAAGTTTCTGCTTATTGCCTGGGGTGGACAGAGATGGGAAATGACTTCATGCTGGTGCCGTGATTCTGGACAGACTTGTACCTATTGTTTAGATCCCTGGGGGGAGCGGCGGTGGCTCTGTGTGCAAGGCTCTTTACAGAATCCTGGCTGCGCATGCAACAATAAATGTTTGGCATCCTCTTAAGCCTTGTGGGTATGGAAGCACCAGAACCAATTGTGAAGAGCTGTGGGTCATTTGGGGCTGCACAGGATGTTCCTTTGGTGAAAATGCTAGTAATAGCCTAGAAAAGAAACCGGAGTTTAGAATCTGCTCTAAATCAGTCTGCAACCTCTTCTATTTACTCTTAAGGTAAGCATTAATTAATACGTACAGTGTAAATACAGCTCCATAAATGCAGTGTATTGTGGGAACACATTACAGCAGCCAGTGTTAGCGAGAGGACCGAAGTGCCTTAGCCAGGTTTCTCTACGTTGTCAGTCTAAAGCCTGCAATATATTCTTGGAATTCACCTATCATTAACTTTTTACTCTTCTCAATAGTTTATATTTCCTTTACAGGAGTTTAACTCTTAATAGTTCATCCTAGTTTTTAATATTATCTCTCTTTTTTTTTTTTCCTTTAATTTTTTGTACTTGCCTCGTTTATTTTCTTTTTGTTGTGTTTTGTTTTGTGTTTATGGCCATGTTCCCATTTCAGAGACCAATGTCCTCTAACTGATGAGCAATTGGTTTCGGGGTAAGACCAAACGTTCTAAACAATCACCTTTGTCTAGAATGGCTTTCTTTTCTCACCCTCCTTTTAATTGTGCTTTGTTTCTGGTTTCCGTTTTACACCAAATGATGAGATAATTATATGCTAAATCACAATGTCTGTAGGAAATGTATTGCTGAAGGTTTATGCCAGGGTAATGACAGAGGTCCTACTAACATCTCTGTGCTTCCTGTAGGGTATCCAGAATGGGTGTGGTACTGTCCCTTCTGTCAGTTGAGAAAAGTTGTGATCCTCCAAGAATGCAACAAGTGTGGCCTTGGCGTTGTAGTTATTCCAACAAGGAGCCCTAAACCAAATTGCCTTCTGATGAGCAATGACTTAAAAGTACAGATCAGCGAGTAAACTATTGAATCCCACAGAAATTATGGAGAGCTCTTCAGAGACCTGGTTTTGAGCAGCTGTTCCAGTTGCTTGTTCTTGGTGCCCCGCTAAGCTAAACTGGATGATTGCATTATACCCCCTTTTTGAATGTGTGGAGGGAAAAGTGCTTATCTCTACCCAGGGCCCCAAAAGTATTAAACTGCATCTCTACTCCCTGCTTCACATGAAGACGCTCACCTAGATACTCAGCTCCCATTCTAAACTACTTCAAAGAAGAATTCTGTATAAAACCCTTGCTTTGAATTCCTGTGGCATATAAATAGTTATTATCCATTCTTGGAAAAAAAAAGAATTTGTGTTTGAGATTCTTTCCCCCTCCCTTGCTGTGTACTAAAGCTAAAGCAATTCTTGGTTGAGCTGGGCTTCCAGAGGAGGTGCTGGGGACAGCAGTCGATCTGTACTAGTGTGGTTTGTACCGTACTGCTGGATTGTCTCCTGTTGCTGCTACGCTGAGCTCGTGATAGGACTGGCAGGGTATTTGGGGCAAATCAAAGCTTTTGTTTCTTGTATTTCGATTCTGCTTGCTGAATTCCTTAGAACAGGAGAGGTTTGCTTCCCTCTGGAAATCACAATGCTCAGACTAATCTCCCAAAAGGAGAAGGGACTGTTACTGCCCAACTGTGAAACCTAATCTGCTTCTAACAAACCCTTGGGCTCTGAGGAGTCAGTATTTTTAGGTCATTGTAATACACCCCAGAGATTAGAAAATCAGTATTAAAACATCTAAACAAGAGTGTTATTTTCTAAGATGAGATGATGAATTGAAATGATGGGAATAATATATCTGCTGTCCCTCAATCTCCCTATCATCCCAAGGCTTAAGAAGTGTATGAATTATATAAAGCGTTGGCGGAAAAAACCCCAAACCAGCAAACCCAATAAATCTAGGCTGTCAGACGAGGAGAATGGGGCTGGAGTTGAGGTCGCTCTTGGGAGAGCCTGCGGTGATACCAGGGGTCTGTACCCATCAGGTAGCACCCGTGTAACCCATCACAGGTTTATCTGTCCTGAGCGTGTTATCTGGCTGCAGTTGCAGTACTCTCCCAGAAAGAGGAGTTTCTGCTAGTGAGAAGATACTAAGGACTTTACAAAATCAACCTTTTAATCTCCTGCTCCCCACAGAGCCACATACAAGGTGGGGCAGACAGGGCTGTCGGTCTCATGAGCTCTCCTGGGGAGCTGCTGAACTCTTTCGTTTAGCACCGCATTTATCTGTTAAAAGATCTGCTGGTGTAATTGCTTGTAAAAGTTAAATCAGTGGTGAAAGTCATCATAATGATCAATTTTCCAGCTCCCAGGATATCCCTTGCCAAGGCTGGGGGAGGGAAGAGCAACTCATTTTTTTACCAGCGAGCAGGCATTTTCTAATTTGCCTCCTTCTCCCTCCGCTCCCCAAAACATATGCTCGTTTTGGATCCGTTGCTATTACAGTCTTCCTGGCTCCATGATGAGCCTATTACAAATGCAGCTGAACGGGGCAAATAGAGGGAGAAAAGCTCACTGTCGTCATGGTGACTTTTTTTTTTTTTTCCTATTTCGAATGTGATCTCCAAGGACTGTTGGTCCAGGCCCTGTTTGAGGACACTTTGCCCTTTCTTCATGAACTCTCTGCATCGCGTAGCCCAGTGCGGTGGCCAAGGAGCGTGGGCTCGGTGGCCCCAGGAGCCTCTGGCTAGGCTCCCCATGTTTCTCCTCACCCTTAGCTGGTTTTGGAGCAGAGAGGCCAGAGGTCTGGAAGTTTGTACGGAGCTGCTCCTTCCACAAGCCAAATGTAAGCAGTGTGCTGTGGTCAGGATGACCTGTTTGTACAGACACTGGGGGCTTTGACAGCTCGTAAAGCACCTGCATTGTCCTTCATCTTCAGTCTACGTAGGGCTAATAAAAGCAATGCCCCTTGG